TTAAAATCCACTGGAAAAAGTAATTTCTTAATAAAAAGAGCCCGAGAAAAATCTCAGAACTTGTTAAAACCAAAAATGCTTTTTAACGAACACTGAACCATAACGTGCTCCTTCCCTCACTCACCAAGTGTCTGAGAGCAGCGGCCAGAGCAGGCCAAGCCCAGTCCTCATGGGGCAGGTGTGCGGACACAAGCTACAAGGAGGCGCGACTCACCGCCCATGACACGGGTCCCAGAGGGACCCGAGACACTGGTCAGGAAGGCCCCAGGAGCAAGGCCACGCCTGGAGCAGTGTCCCTGGCGGAGGGAGCGGCCTGTGTGAAACCCCAGAGACAAGAAGAGAAAGGGGCCAGGTGCTTGGGGCTCAGTGTGGGGAGGGTGAGAGCAGGGGCCGGCGGTCCACAGTCCAGATGGGGAGGCCATGAGGCGTGGCAGGCGGAGTGGCGGCGCACCTCTGATTTCCATCCCTGGAAAGTGGTGCTGGCCAAGTGGAGGACAGCCTGAGCGGGCAGGACGGTCCTGAGTGCCCCGATTGGCAGGTGGGGCCCAGCCGGGCCACGACAGCAGCCCACACTCCCTTGGGGCAGGAAGAGCTCGAGTAAAGGAGGAGACTCGGGGCTCCAGCGTCCTTCCGAACGGCCCTCCAGGGGGTCCCCGGGGGATGCATGTGCTGCGAGCGCCATCCCACTGCGCACTCGAGTGCTAGGCTCCTGCCCACTCTTCCAGGGCCAGCTCCCGACCACTATGGCCACACGACCCTTTCAGTGGCTCAGGGCTGAGGGAGGACAGTCCATGAAGGAAAACAAACTCACACTTGTCCCCACAGAGAACTTGGCCTTTAACATCAATGAAACCACTTCCCAGAAAGGGCGACAGGCGCAGAGGACTCCTGGCAGCAGGGAGAGCGACGCTGGCCCACAGCGTGAAGCACAGGGGCGGGGGTCCTCTGGGGGTTCTCAAGGAGAGGGCAGAGCTCACAGTCCAGGGGCTGCAGGTGGACAGGGCGCCGCAACTGCCCATTCGTCAGAGCTCCCGGCAGGAAACTAGCAGGCGGCTGGGATTCAACTGCAACATGTTCCTGAGATTCTCCAAATGAACTCGAGTGACAGGCCTCAGGGGTTGGGGCAGCAGGTTACGATGGAGCAGGCAGTGGAAGAGCCTTGGGGGAGTGAGCTCAGGCCGTGCCCAGCAGCGAGCTGGCCGGGCGTCTCCTGCAGGAGCGCGGGGCACAGGCTATCGCACTGGCTGCCGTCCTCCTGGAAGGGACACCGCAAGGTACTCCTCACACTGGAGCTGTGGGGCCAGTTCTGCTTTCGGGGGACACTGGGGGGATTAAGCGCATTCAGAAAAAGGGACGAGAATGTTGACCAGCTGAGCAACCATGTCTCCTGAACAGTGACCTGCAAAACTGAGCCTAGAAAAGTGGGAACTGGTAAATGAAATACCACTAGCGAATATTTACAAAAGAAAGTAGTAGCTGCTTGATGGCCAGTGTTTAGGCGTGTGAGGGGTTAGCAAACAGCGGAGTGATTAGATTTGCTTTGTGCACACAAGACAGGGTGAAGACTTAACAGGAAGTCACAGGGCAGAGAAGCCCCTCAAAGACAAGACAACCACCAAAACCGACAGTGCCTGGGGAAGCAGGAAGCTGGCCCTGCCTGGGGGAATCCATGTAGGGGAAGATGACCACGCCAGGAAAGCGACCCCAGCAGGAGCAGGGCCCACACGACATCCCCAAGGGCGTGCTCACCCTTGGGAGACCCTGCAGGAGCTAAGGCTGCATCAGGAGGCACTCGGCTCCCTGGGAACCCCACCTCGTTCACTCAGTGCTCCCCAAACTGGCATCCCACAGAAATGCCAGCAGATGAGATGCAACAAGAGTATCCCATGACCAAACATTTGGGAAATGTGTCCTCTACCCCCACTCTGGGAGGTTGCGAGACACCAGCACACTACAGACTGAGAGGTCCTGTGTGCAGAGGCCGTGGACGGGAAGAGCATCAATCAGGGAAACACTGCGAGGACCGAACTTCTCACCAGAGGACCACCCTCAGTCGTTATAGACATGAAGAATGTTCCCTCGTCAGCACCCCATGCCTGGCACTGACCACACACCTCCGACTGGGAGCCACCGTGGCCAGGATGTAACTCAGTTGCCAACTGACCACTCGGACTGTGAAGTGCGATCTGCAGAAGTTACTGGTTCAGTGGGAACCTGCGTAGGCCTGAGAGCCCTTTCCCCCTGCGCTTCTCTCAACCCCTAGGGCTCAGACAACTTGTACACAGCTTGACTGAAACTTCCAAGTTCCTAACCCCAACTACCTGGGCTCTCCGAGTAAAGGCCAGGTTCACCTGGCGGGGTGGGG